TCCCACTATAAAGGAAAGCTTTAAAATTAAATGAATGAGATATTTTAGAAGAGATTTCATGTTTAAAAGGAACATCTTAACAATTGATACCTTTTTTTCCTTACTTGCTTCAAGGAACCAATACAAAATTCAGGAGAACTGAAGTGGAAATACACATTAATATAATATCACTGTATAACTGCAAAGAAGGAATCAATAATCCCAAATTTGAAAATGTTTGGAAGGTTTCTACTTCAGCCTCTTTCTCCCCTTGCTGCTGCACATTCTGGATCTACTGCTTTTTGTCCCAGATTTCAGTCCTTTACTGGGACTAGGAATCCCAGTCAAATAAGGGAGAAAAGACAATAATGGACTATCTTTATTTAAACAAGTAACCATTACCAACCAAACAATAAAAAAAAAAAACCAAACATTAACAGAAAACAACAAATCACAATGACCTGTAACCGAGAACATAGTATGTTGAAAACCTGGAAAGTGAGAGCCCACAGACCTCAGAACTCAGAGCTGTGCTGCCAACCAGCTGTGTGACTTCACAGAAGTCATTTTACATCTCTGGAACCTATTTTGTGTGTAAAGTGAGATTTCATCTGAGGATCTATAAGTGTTCTCCACAAAGAAAGCCATGTGTTCACAAAGGACTTCCAGATCAGAAATACTGTCTTTGCTGTTACAAGCATTTTGCCTGTTATACTCCCAAAACACCTTTGTTGAAAAGTGGTGAGTTTCTGACTCAAAGCCACTTTCATTCAGTACACAAACTGAATTTGACTGCACACAAATCTATCCGCGTCAAAGCAGCATTCCCTATGTGCAGGAAGACTGATGAATCCTGGTTTTGGTGATTGTGCTGTGAGGTAGAATATAGTAAGGAAGGGGTGTGTGTGCAGCGGGGAGATAGTGTCATAGTTGGCATGCCCTGTTTTAGTAGCCTGGCTCTTGGTTTTTGTGGCGTAAGAAATCAAGAGGGTTGCCTACCTGCAATGGAGATTGTCACTTGGATTTATGAGAACACAGTTGTGGAAAAGATCAGGTGCAGAAAGAAGAGGTGGAGAGAAATTGGAGGCCTGAAGACGTTGGAACCTTGGGAAGCTTATAATAGAATATGACCCACTAAACTGGCCCAGCTGTAGCTCCCTGGCTTCCAGTGACCAGGCCAGTGCCTCATTGTGGGAAAACACCCCATCAAGCCACACACCTGAGGGCTCATCACCTCCTTCTCCTGAAGCAGCCCTCTCTCAGCTCAACTCAACTGTGATAACCAAGCCCTGTAAAACAGGTGATTTTATGGAAAGTAGTGGAACTTGAAACATTTTTTAAACTAAAAATATCCCCCACCCCAACTGCAAAAAGACAAATGCATATAGTAGTCTGCTGAAGAAACAAAATACATGGTTTCAGTCACCCCCTTGAAGTTTTGCTTTATAGATGGCTTCCCCTCAGGAAGACAGTAAGCACAATAGTATTAGTTGCTCTCTTATCTTGGAAGGTGTACATCGCAGTCTGTCTGGGGTAGTACAACAAAAGACCAGAGAAACTGGGTGGCTTATGAGGAACAGACATTTATTTCTCACAGCTCTAAGGGCTGGAGCTCAAGTTCAGGGTGCCAGCACGGTTGGGTCCTAGTGGAGACCCTCTTCTGGGTTGCACACGGTCACTCCTCATTGTGCCCACATGGTGGAAGGGGCAAGGGACCTCTCTTGGGCCTCTTTTATAAGGACATTAATCTCATTCATGAGGGCCCTGTCCTAACGACTGAACTACCTCCTAAAGGTCCCTCGTCCCAATACCCCACCACATGGGGCATTTGGATTTCAACAGGAATTTGGGGAGGACACATTCAGACCATAGCAGTATAGTTAGTGTGTCTCATCCTCGTTTGACCACTCTGTGAACATACAGACATGAACAGGAAGCTCAAGTAATGTTATTCTGACAGATGCTCCCTCAGTTTAGAAGTTCTTTAATGGCAGCAAGCCTTTTACCCCTACCCTACTATTTTCTTTCTGGTTTTCAGTGGCCCTTCCTCCCACCCCCAAGATTCCTGTGCAGTTAAATGGGCTCACCAAGGAGTCTCCCATATGGGTGGGTATCCCAGGGGGTGTAGGATGGCCTTGGTATGAGAGAGTTTTCCTTTGCTGGAAGGAAACATTCCTTGATATAATGAAGCTAAAAGCATCATAATTTCAGGCTGGAGCCTGTGCATTTCTGTGGATAAAATGAGAGTTCCTGTGGCCAGGATTCTCACTTGGCCCTGGTCGACTAGCTCACTGCACACCTGTGGGCAATACATGGCTGTTGACTCTATATAAAGAGCTCTGCCCAGTGTTCTGGGCCGACACGGTGGCACAGCTGCAGGAGAGCCAAGCAGAGGCTGGAGTGGTGGCAGCACTGAGGACAGAGGCCCAGAGGACGGCTGTGTGAGACAGCTGTGCAGAGAGGCCCAGAGGACGCTGTGCGGGACGGCTGTGCAGGCAGAGAGGCCCAGAGGCAGAGACTGGCTTGCTGCATGCAGACTCGCTCTGAGTGAACTGGATTTTAGTGACTGACCTGCCACCTGGAAATAAAGTTGGGTATAACCCTTTCAGCCCAATAACGTTCTGCTGTCAATTTCTTTGGTCACATTGAATCCATAGTGAACTTGCCCGGGGCTGAAACCTATTGGCAAGACAATTTCTCTCTGGCAACGTGGCAAGGGTGCAAAACTGTGCATGGCCAATAAACACAGCTGCATTTATTTTAGTGATTACACATTCAGATAACTGCAGAACATCTTTAAATTCACAGATTTTCTACCCTTCCTGGGGGTGTGAGGGAGTGGGGAGGGCAGGAAGTTAGCCCTCCATAGAGTTCTCATTTGAATGTGTGCATGATGGGAGCCATCTTCACGCTTGAGTCACCATTTAGGGAGCATAATTTCCATGACATATGAAGACCCCATGTCTACCCATTCTACACTTTCTGTCAGATGCCCAAAATTCCACCCCTAGGCGTTTATCCAGAGGTTATAGCTCCATCCTTGTTTAAAGAAAGTTGCTTAACTTTAAATTGTGTTAGATATTTGCACTATGATGTGTGATATGCATGAGGATACTGGATTGTAAAAGCTCAAAAGGCCATTGGTTATAAAGTCACTGGCCCTTGGTTTGGGCATGTTGGGAAGGGAGGAGTGTAACTGAGAAAGAGGAAGGGCCAAAGAGGAGTAGGCTGAGAACTTGGAGAATCTGCATTTTCAAGAAATTTTGCCTAGGACTTCCTGTTCTGCAGTTTTCCTGTTTATGAAAACATTCCAATAAGAAAACGACCGAGTGTTATACCAGACTTGGGTATACATCTAAGTGTAGCTTTTAGTTAGATACTTGATTAACATTTTCAGAGTTACGGTTTTTGAGACCAAATGGAAAGCCAGAAAGAAAATATAGAGTCGCAGAAAGCATGCGCCAGCTGTGTAAACTGTAGGGTAGCAAAGGAGAATTGTGAGGAGAGGTTGGAGGTGAGAGTTTCCTGGGGAGCTGGCCAGGTAATTTATCCCCTGGTGGGAGAGCTCAGATGCCCAGGCACATGATATGGCAGGAAGAGCCTTCCCAAGGATGATGGGAGATCAGGACAAAACTCGAGAACAAAATACCTAGAACTAGACTATTTGGAGGGGAAATAGAAAATGGGAGAGGAAAGGATAGTGATATATACTTTTTAAATTCCGTCATTGGAAGGATTTCTCTCCGACCCCCATTTTGTGTGTGACACTTACTTTCCTATCTGCCTGCAGCATTAATGCTAAATACTTCATAAAATTATTCCTTAATTTGCCTGGGGAGTCCCAGCTGCTTACCAGTGTGGGTTATCTCTGAGCTGCCTCATGGTCCCCTGTTGGGCTTCTCAGCTCTTCCATCACTTGTGTAACGGATTCCCTGTACCAAATTACCTCTGTTAAGAGCAAGACTGATTTCTGTCTTCCGTCCTGGACCCTGAGTGGTGGAGTAGGCCTATCATTCTGTGTGCTCTTGCACACTGTAGGGTGCTCAGGCATGGTGATGCTAATGGAAAAGGAAAAGCAGTTTATTCAGGACAGGTAGGGAGTGCTCTGCTCTATGCATTTACTTTAATAAAAATCAAGCTAGTTAAAACTACATTGTATATGTCATTAACTCCTGAAAAGCAAAAAGGGGAAACATTTTCCTAAGACATTTTCCTGCGGGTCAGTCTTGTAACTTCTGTGGTGTCAAAAAATGGATTCCATTGATCTCATATATCTTTTCCAGCTCTGTCAACCATGACTGACTCATGGAAGGGATTGTTTTGGGTAAGAGTGGCTTTGTATTTTTTAACTGTAGCATGGTGAGCTCTAACATCATGCCATTGGTTTCCTATGCTCGCTTTGGTAACAACTCTATACTTGGCCTTCCCATCCCAAGCCTGGTTGTTGTGACTTAAAGTCCCATTTATATGCCAACCCCTGTTCTTGGCATCCACACAAGGATTCCCACAAGAGTTCCATTTGAGATGGTGGTTTCCAAGATTGGGGGTATCTGCCTGCCAGCACTGGATCTGAGACCATCAGCTTGTTTTTCCAAGCATTAATATCTCTGTGATCTCCAAACATATTTTCTTTTCCAGAATGCTTTCCAAAAGGTTTACAAGATTGTCTCTCAAACTTATTTTGGAGGCTTAGGGCCTAAGGAGAGGGGCAAGGGTAACAGAAATTTTAACTTGGCAGACTAATATTTCAAACTTTATCCAAAAAATATTTTTTCCCTTTTAAAAAAATGCAACTCTCTTTACATATGTAAGTAATTCATTTGGGAGAAATTACCACTAGGCTGTTCACATAGCCAGTCCTTGGCAGTTTCAGTTCAAAATGCTTTGAAACGAGTCAACTACAAAGCCTCAAATGTTTTTCTCTTTGAAAGCTCAACTGAACTTCACAACCATGGTGGTGAGAAAAGTGACAACTCATTTTAAAGGTTTTCTCCCTTTGTTTCTTTGTCTTTCTTCTACAGGCCATGTGTTTATACTATGGGATCTCCCATAAACAACAGGGCCCTTTTTCCATGCCAGGAGCCACCCGTTGCCATGTCAACATGGCAGGCCACCGCTCAAGCAGCTGCATCTTTTGTTGTTCTAATGAGTGGGGAGAATTCTGCCAGGCCAGCACAGCTTCAGGAAGGTACTGTACATGTGTCCTCTGCTTCTTTGTGTATTGAACACAGGCTGGACCCAGGAACCCCATACTGGGTGTTTTTCTCAACTTGAAGGAACTCCTTTATGAGTTGGGTTGGAATGAACATGTTATAGGACATCCTGCCAGAGAAAACAGAATGGGATGCAAGGGGAGGAGCCCTGGGCGCCTGGGTGTGGCATGTGGGTTTCTTCATGCCAGAGTCCATGCCAGAGTTCAGCCATTGCTTTTGCCTAGTGGTTTGTTGGCTGTGAGCATGTGGTCTTGGTTAAAGACTTCTGGGCAGGCAGGTGTGTCATGGAGACATTACAGTTGCATTGTCTGTGGTGGGACCGTGGAGCCTGTGCAAGGCTATTCCTTATGCTGAGTAATGGGGCTCCTGTTGGCCGGCCCACTGGGCTTGTCCTGGGAAAAGCATTTGTTCTACACACTGTTTGCCCGTGAAGTTCTGAACCAAAGGCTTCTGAGTTCAGTGAGTCATGAGGGCCCCCATTTCCCTGGAGCTTCACCCATCTGATAGGCAAGAGAAGGTCTCCCTTTAATTTGTATTAACTTCGTCATCAGTGAGGGTCCATGGGTCCTTATGTGTTTGTTGGTCATTTTCATTTCCTTTGCCCCTTTTTATACCACAGTCTTCATGAGGTTTTCAAAAGTTTGTTTTGCCTTTTTATTTGATGGGCTTCTTGGAAAATAAAGATAGTGGAGTTTCTGGGTTGGTGAATACGTGGAGATGGGAGAATGATGAGCGCTGAGAGGGCATGGAAGCTCCACACCACGTCCCACGTACTCTCCATGCAGCTCTTCCATCCAGCTGTCGCTAAGCCAGCTGTCAGCTCTGCAGACCCAGCAGGCGAGGGCACAGGCCTGCTCCTTCAGGTCTTCCTTCCTTACAGAGGCTCCCATGCCACTGAAGACTTACATCGGGTAAATCTGGAAGCTATTCTTCTGTTTAAAAGAATAAAAATGAAATTAAAGATACTTCTCTGTTATGGTATTCATGAAAACATTTTTTCCCAGTTTTTAGCATGCCTTTGTATTTTCTATAATGTTTCTGATCTATAGGAGATGTTAACTTTTATGTAGTCCAATAAGTCAGGTTTCTCTTAGTCTTTCTTTGCTCTGAGATTCGCCTGTTTTGTTCTAATGTTTGGATTTAATTTTTAGTTTAATTTTTGTAATTTAACTCCTGAATCTGTTTGTAATTTACTCTGGTCAGGGGGTGAAATGAGGACTAAACTTTTTGTTTGTTTGTTTGTTTCAGATGGGAATAGGAAACCAGTTGCTTATTTATTGACTCTTTTCTGATTTGTGATGTCTCCTTTATCAGAAACTAGACTTGCGCATGTACTATAGTCTTCAATGAGTTTACTTGATTCTGAAAGTAAAAACAGAACAAGACAAATAATACCTTTAAAAGTTTTAGTTTTAAAAATAGGTCACATGCTCTGTAGCATCTTAGTATGCCAATGGACAGTGACTGTGTGTGGTGGGGACATGATAAGGGGGGGAATCTAGTAACCACGATGTTGCTCATGTGATTGTATATTAATGATACCATAATAAAAAAAAAAGTAAAAATAGGTCACATGTACACAGTTCATTTACAAGTCAGCAAAGGATAAGAAATTTACAATAAAGTCTCCCTTTTGCTCCTAATTCCCAGCTCCCCAAAGGCAGCTGGGGCTAACCAATTTCCTTTGCATATTTTTTCCTCTTCTGTTGCACAGATATGAACATGCTATACACATTTTTGTACTGAACTTCCCCCTTTAGAATAAATTTATCTTATAGATAATTTCACCTCTGAACATAGTTTCCTTATTTTTATGACTATAGAGTATTCTATAAATGGATGGTTCACGATTTAGTTAACCAATAGCTCTTGACTTTACATCAGGTAAGGTGTTAATGGGCATTTATTTACTTCTGTCATCTTCCTCACTCACATTCTCTCGTTTTGATCAATATAGTTTGGGGTTTGGGACTCCTAATTGTCTCATATTTTGTTTTTGTATCATAGCTTCTCTTCTAGGAATTACATTTATTGTTTTACATTTTTATCCAGTTTTGAATCCTATTTGCAATAAGTATTTAGACTTTCTTGAGCTCTTAAGCTTAAATCATCTCAGTCTGCGAAATGGCTTCAACATTTCTTTTTTCTAGAAGGGTTGGATATGTGATATATTTTCTGAGCCCTCCCATATTTAGATTGCTTTTTTTTTTGTATTCACTTATGGACAGTTCTTAGCTAGGTGTAAAGTTCTGAGGACTTCTTTTCCCTCTTAAATGGCTATAAATGTTTTCATTATCATTCCTTAATATTTCTGAGGACAAATCTGATCATTTTTTTAAAGCAGTCTGATTTCTTGCCTAGAGACGCATAGAATTAAAAAAATAATATATGTAATACACAACTTTATAGAATGAAGCTAGCTGTGGGTACCTTTATTATTTTATTATTTATTTATTTATTTTTTTTGAGAGGGCATCTCTCATATTTATTGATCAAATGGTTGTTAACAACAATAAAATTCTGTATGGGGGTGTCAATGCTCAATGCACAATCATTAATCCATCTCAAGCCTAATTCTCGTCAGTCTCCAATCTTCTGAAGCATAACGAACAAGTTCTTACGTGGTGAACGAATTCTTACGTAGTGAATAAGTTCTTACATGGTGAACAGTACAAGGGCATTCATCACAGAAACTTTCGGTTTTGATCATGCATTATGAACTATAAACAATCAGGTGAAATATGAAAATTCGTTTGATTTTTATACTTGATTTATATGTGGATCCCACATTTCTCCCTTTATTATTATTATTATTTTTATTTTTAATAAAATGCTGAAGTGGTATGTGGATGCAAGATAAAGGTAGAAAACATAGTTTAGTGTTGTAAGAGAGCAAATGTAGATGATCAGGTGTGTGCCTGTAGACTAAGTGTTAATCCAAGCTAGACAAGGTCAACAAAACATCCATGGATGCAGAAGATTTCTCTCAAAACGGGGGGTGAGGTTCTAAGCCTCACCTCTGTTGATCCCCAATTTCTCACCTGATGGCCCCCCTGCAACTGTGCCTGTCTTAGGTTGTTCCTCCCTTGAGGAATCTTACCCGTCTCTGGCTAGGGTACCTTTATTTTTAATCAATTTTTTTAAAGTATAATTTACATATGAAATGCACAGTTTTTGTTCAGTGAAGTTTGACAAATACATACATCTGTGTAATTAATCAGCAACCTTATGAAGATGTGGAACATTTCCAATATTCTAGAAATTCCCTTTTACTTTTACCATTCCTCCCTAAGTCATTCCTCCCTACTGCCACTCCAGGTAACCACTGATCTGATTTCCATATCTGTAGACTAATTTTACCTCTCCTAAACATTCATACAAATGGAGTCATTCTCTGTGTGCTCTTTTGTCTAGATTTTGCTCAGCATGTTTGTGAGGTGCATCCATATTGTGGGTATCAGTAGTTTCTTCTTCTTTTTTAAATTGGTGAATAATAAATAGTCCATAATATGAATAAACTACAGTTTGTTTATCCATTTGCCTATGGATGGGCCTTAGAATTGTTCTTGGCCATCACAAAAATATGCTGTGAACATTCATGTTTAAGTCTTTTTGTGGACATAGGTTTCATTTCTCTTGGGTCAATACTAAGAGTGGAATTACTGGATCATACAAGGCTATTTTACTTTTGTAGGTATCTGTCAAACTGTTTCCAAAGTGATGGAATCATTTTATATCCCACCAGCAATGCATGAGAGCCCAGGTTCTGTGCATCCTTGTAAACACTTGGTGTTGTCAGGCCTTTGAATTTTAGCCCTCTTAACTGGGTGTGAAGTACTATCTTGTGATTTTAATTTGCATTTTTCTGATGACAAGTGATGGTGAGCAACTTTTCATATACTTATTGAGCATTTTTTTATCTTCCTTTGAAGGGCATCTCTTCAAGTCATTTGCCTATTTATTTAATGTGGGCTTTTTTTGGTTGTTTTATTATTAAATTGTAAGAATACTTTATATAGTTTAGAGACAAGTCTTGTCAGATATGTGTATGGCAAATCTATTCTCCTGGTTTGTGCCTTTTTGTCTTATTTACACTCTGTACCACTGATTTTCCACAGATAACATTGTGTGTGTTCTTTAGTAATTCCAATATACAATTAAATTCTTAATTTAACAGCTTCATTGTAATCCCTCCTCACTCTGTTACACTGTTTCAGCCTGTTATTTTCTCATGGTTTTTTACTATTTTTTCATAGAAGTTATAATTTCTAATATCCTAATGGGAATTCCAGTGGCCTAAACTGGTGTTGGTTTCTGTAGTGAATTGATTTCCAGGCTGGCTTGTTCTTTCTGAGTCCTTAGAGCAGTGTTTCCTTTTGCTTTTATTCTGCAGTACTTTTCCCCTGTGCTCATGGCTCTCTCCTCTTTGGTGTGCACCAACAGACGGGATAAAGTCTGTGAGTTTCCCTTTGCTCCATTCGCTGTCCACTTGGTGCTGCCTAAAACTCCCTCTCTATTCAGTAGACGAGGGTTACTGATGCTCACAGCTCCTTTGTCCAGGTTCTAGTGTCTTGCTGGTAACTACCTGGTGAAGTTTGCCGGACTCACACAGGCTCTTTTCCTACCCTCCTGGCTTGGTTCCCTGGCACTCTGAACTGAATCGAGTATGTGAAACAGTGCAGTCTTCAGCAGGCCCTGATATCTGGTCTCCCAGCCTCTATTTCTGCCCGTAGTGGTTTACTTGGCAACCACGCCTCCCAAGATGACCTGTGGCTCTTCCTGCCTTACCTCGCCAAACCTGTGCACCTTCTAATCCATGGTTTGGCGCCACAGTCAATACAAAGGGTGTGTTTGGCAGTGTTTCTCAGACTTAAGAATTATTTTTCTTTTTAGAGAGAAAAAATATTTCAGGTCCACCAGGGTTGACTTAAATTATTCATATTAGAATGATATTTCTAAAACTATGTGTAAGACT